GATGTCACCAATGACCCACCTTCTGGTAAGTTGCACCTCATGGTCTCAAGGCCATGGCACCAGAGTCCCGTTCCTGCTCGACAGCGCAGCCATCCATTCGAGGAAGGAGGGAAGGGCAGTGTGCCCGGCAGAGTGCGGCCCGCTGGTGGAGGGCACGTAGGTGCCCGCAGATGCAGAGACGTCTTGCACTGTCGCCATCTGCACAGCCATACAAATTACAGCCCTGGTCGTGCCGGCTGGACCTGGGGCGAGGGCTGGAAAGTTTGCCAGTCAAATAATTTCTTAGGAAGACGTTATATCCCTAGCCCACCGATTATTTTAATAATTTTGGGGTTTGCCTACGGAGGGAGGCATCACGCCATGGAAAACTTCTTATGTTGTGGAAATATCCTGTTTGGCCTGAATGACATTCAGTTTTTTCCCTGGAGAGCCACTGGTTTCGGAGCTACTGAGTCCAGCCCTGGCTCTAGGGAGGGAGGGGCAAGTCTAGAGCAGTGATTTTCAACCGGTGTGCCACGGAACACTGGTGCGCCACAAGAACGTTTAAAACATGCGGTATCTGAGTGTTTAGTCAGGGGCACTGACCTCTTTCCCCTGAGACTGTCAAATAAAAAAATGACAACAGCCAACACAGTAGCTGCCTGGTGTGAATGAATCAAAATTATACCAATTTTTGTCAGATTGGCAAAAAATATATTTTAGGCATGGCACAGAATTGTAGTAATTAGTTTATGTGCCATGAGATGAAAAGGTTGAAAATCGTGCTCTAGAGGACTGGCACCCAGCAGGCCCAGGGGTCAGGGAGGACAGATACCTGGTCTGAGATTTGAACGAGGAGAAGTTGGCCAAGAGGGCAAGAGAACTCCAAAAACAAGGGACCGCATGGCGTGGGCAGAGAGGGGCGAGGGCACATGGCTCCCCTGACAGGTTGTTCAGGGTCACAGGCAGGAGACCAGCCTGGGTGGTGCTGGCTGAGGGAGCCTGGCTTTGCCCGGGAGGCGCTGAAAGGCTCCGAGTCAGCCAAGGGCATGGTTAGACTGACAGCCTGGGGAACAAGACCTGCTGTGGGGCAGAAAGGGCTCCGTGCTCACAAAACCCGTTCTTTTCCAGTGTATGTGGCACAGCCAGACTCCATTTCCCAGACGCTTCTGTGGTCAGGCGGAGCCGTGTGACTGAATTCTCACCAATCAAACACTGGCGAGAGTGACACTGGCCATTGCTAGGCCTCACCCGTGAAACCCCCTGCACAGAGCCCCGCATTCTCTCTCTCCCCATGTGCTGGCTGGAGATCTGAGGACCTAGAAGGTGGGTCTCCAAGAGGGAAGTGGCCTGGATCCCGGAGTCACCACCTGGTAAAGAGCCTGCTATGGGCCACTATTTGAACAATGAGTCCTTTTTGATTATATTGAGCCACTGAAATGCTGGGTTATTTGTTACACAGGTTAGCCTACTCTGACCAATACAAACTATATTAGTAGCTACGCTTTATTGGGCATCTGCTCTGATCGCGGCATTGTGCTAAGCACACTGCTCATTTCACCCACACGACAACCCTGTGGGGGTGGGCACCACCATGGGCCCGTTTTTTATAGAAGAGGAAACTGAAGCAGGGAGAGCAGACAGTGGGCAAAGGTGGAGACATCTGATTACCAAGCCTGGACACAAGAGCCAACCTGTGCCCTGCTTGCTCCCTGGGTCAAAGGACTGGGTTCGGACGCAGTGAGGCAGGGAGAGCAAATGAAGGTTTATTCTAGTAATGCCCCCGGGAATGCCTGTCTGTGAAGTGGGGGAGCAGCAGGTGAATGACAGGAAAATGTTTGCTGTGAGTATCGGGAACATGTGTGAGAAGTGTCCAGCGCAGGGCCTAGCACCTGGAGGGCGTATAATGAATGATTTTCTTCAAGAGCCTAAGCAAGAACTGACTACGGCCTGGGTGAGAACAGGAGAGAAATATTCCAGAAGCAGCACTTGGCAGGATTTGGGCAAGAATGAGGCAGATACCTTATGTTACAGTTTGCAGGGACACGGAGGAAGGGTACAAGACACATCCTGTGCATTGTGCTGTGGGTGTGGAGGAGGGAACGGGGTTCAGATGACCTGCAGGAGGGCAGCCTGCACCTTCCCACATAGGCTGGCATCCCACAGAGGCGCTGCACTCTGGGTCTCTGGCCAAGAAGGGCCATTAGCAAACTGTCCACCCTGTTTGGATGTACCCACTTCTGTGCCGAGGCAGATACTTTTTTATCTACATGAATTTTGATAGATTCTTTGTACCTTGTTTTTATCATCTTGAGATGGGGTGAGAAGTAATGAAGACGAACCTCGTTGGGCTGTTGTGAATACATGGAGGGTGATTAGCACTGTGTCAGGTAAGTAGTGAGTAGTCAGTAAAGGGTGGAACAGTCAGTAAAATCCTCCCATCCGGGCACAGTCTCTCCGTCTGCACATACAAACCCCGAGATGCTATGAGCACTGAGCAGAACCTCTGCTGTCCTGTTCGCTGTGCCCTTCTACGTGGCTCAGTGAACACTTCACATAGGCGTTTAAATATTGGTTGAATGGATGAATAAGGAAACCCATCTCTCCTTCCTTCTTTCCATCCATCCACCCACCCCTCTAACCATCTATCCATCCATCCATCCATCCATCCATCCATCCATCCATCCATCCATCCATCCATCCATCCA